AAATGGGTAGGGATACAGCTTTATATATTTCCGTCTGTGTCTCGGTTCTGGTTTCCTTGTGGGATATTTCTAGCAGTGGAATAGCTAGGTCAATATGGAATTTCTCTGTTCAGCTTTTTGAGGTAATGCCAAACTCTGTTTCAGAGTGGTTGCACCATTTTACTATCCTACCAACCTTGCATAAGAGTTCTAATCTCTGAATATCTGAGATTAATTGCTTGCTGTCTTATTAAACTTTGGCACTGGTACTGGGGTGAGGGAGTATCTCGTTGTTTTAATTTGCATTTTTTGGATTGCTAGTGTTTTTTGGTGTTTGGGGTTTTTTGCTAGTAATTTTGAGCATTTTTTTTTCATGTGTCTGTTGGTCATCCACATGTCTTTCTTTTGGAGGAGGCTTTTCATGTCTTTTGCCCACTTTGTGATTGGGTTATCAGTCTTTTTCTTGTGAAGGCCCTGTGTTGTTATGTGCCATTGAGTCACCTGCAACTCATAGTGACCCTATGTACAACAGCCCTAAACCCTGCTCTATCTTGTGCCAATCTTATTGTCTCTGACACACCCACCTCCGTTACTGAATCAATCCATCTCATTAAGGGTCTTCCTCTCATGCACTGTCCCTCTCTAAGGACTGGTCCCTCCTTGCAATATGTTCAAAGTATGTCAGATGAAGCTTCAAAATCCTTGCCTCCAAGGAACAGCCTGGTATAACTCTCTACAGGGTGAACCTGTTCGTTCTCTTAGCAGTCCATGGTATATTCCACACTCTTCTCCAGCACCACAGCTCAAAGGTATCAACTCTCCTTCTATCATACCTCGTTGTTGTCCAGCTCTTTGATGCATAGCAAGTGATTTGCAAGGACGATGGCCTGCATCAGGCGCATCTTAGTCTCCAGACTGACATCATTGCTCTTCAGTACTTTCGAGGGATCTCTTACAGCAGACTTTCCCAATGCAATATGTCTTTTAATTTCCTGGCTGCTGTTACCAAGAGTGTTGATTGTGGAGCCAAGCAAAATAAAGCTGTTTACAATAGTATTCTGTAAATTTTAGTTATGAGATCCTTGTTTAAAATAATATTGCCAAAAGTTTGTTTGTGTTTGGTTTTGTTTTCACAGTCTATAGGTTTTCTTTTCACCCTATAGGAAAAGTTTTGGATGTACACAGGGACATGATTTTTTGACAGTCTCATTCATCAATTTTATCATCTCCTGGTTGTGCATTTCTAGTTATATTTGTAAGCCTATTTATGCCATTGTTACCCATGGCAGACAGTATTTGGTGGCGCTCCCCGATTAAAACAAGTTTGGAAGCAGGAGTGGCATCCACTTCCGTAATAGCTTGCCTCCAGAAACCCTATGAACCTAGAGAGAGGATGAAAGTCACACAAGTGTTGAGGACTTTCGTTCAAAGGGTCACTATGAGTTGCCTATGACTCGATGGCACTTAACAGCAATAACACCAACACAGAGAGAGATCAGTTGACCTAGTGGAGAGAAAGTGATGCTACCAAGCGAAAGGTGGGTGACTTATAATCCGTGGCCCTCAGGCCTGTTTTTCATTGTTTTTGTTCAAACATTCTTCTAGGTCATATATCCCAGCTGGGTCCACTTGCTGTACAGCAGTACCGTGTGGTTGCTGTGAAGCTGAACACTGTGACACTGATGTGTCAAATGTGATAATGGTTACCCATGGCGAACAATGTTTGGTGGCGCTCCCTGATTAAAACAAGCTTGGAAGCAGGAGTGGCATCCACTTCCATAATAGTTTACTTCCAGAAACCCTATGAACCTGGAGAGAGGATGAAAGTCACACAAGTGTTGAGGACTTTTGTTTATAGGGCCACTATGAGTCGCCTACGACTTCACGGCACTTTACAACAAAAACATAGGGTATCTGTAACTACAGCAATGGAGTTAGGTGTGTTGGAGTCAGTGAGACTAGCTCAGGACAGGGCAGGCTTCAGACCTGTGGTACATAGGGTTGATATGGGTCACAGGCGACTTGACGGCACATAACAACAACATAGGGTAGCTATGAGTCAGAATTGAGTTGATAGCAGTGGGTTTAGTGCCTCATTTCTGGAAGCAGCTGTAACCCTTTATTATGTTTCATCATTATTCTTCCTGGTTCTTCAAGCCAAAACAGTGCCATCAGGATCATTCTGACTCACAGCAAATCACTATAGGATTTCTGGGGCTGTAACTCTAAACAGGAGTCTGCCCATCTTTTCCTTGTGGAGAAGCACGGCCTCTAGTAAGTGAGTGCAACCCACTTACAGGCCTTGCTACCTTCCCTTTTCTCCTCAGCCCTTGTGCTACTGTCTGATGCCTCACCAGCTCATGTTTGCTCCCTTACTGCTTACATCTCTGAAAAAGTCTTTTTTTTAACCAGGGATGGATTCTGCTTCCTGCTGGGCCAGGTGAAGTAATTTTAGTAGCAAGGTAGATTCCAAATTGCCCAAGAGTGACTAAGTGATGAAGAGAGAAGAAGAAATAAAACTAATTAAGAAATCGTGAAGTAAGAAGATGGGACATTTTCATCCCTAAGATGCATCATGCTTGGTAGGGGGGAGGGACAGCACAGGAGGGGAAGACCCTCTATGAGGTGGATTGATTCAGTTACTGGGGTAATCAGGATGGGTGTATCAGAGATGGTGCGATTGGTACAGGACAGAGCAGAGTTTAGGGCTGTTGTATGTACACAGGGTCACTATGAGTCGCAAGTGACTCGACGGCACATAACAACAACAACAACAACGAGATGCAAAACCTCATTTAGACTTAAATATTAGTAGGAAAGGACCAATAGAGAAGGATTTATATCTGATATAGGAGAGTATGTAACTAAATGACACCTTTGAGCTGTGGTTCTGGAGAAGAGTATTGAATGTACCATGGACTGCCAAGAAAACAAACAAATTCATCCTAGAGAGGGTTAAACCAGGCTACCCCTTGGAGGCAAGGATTCTGGGGCTTCGTCTGCCATACTTCGGACATGTTGCAAGGAGAGACAGGTCCTTGGAGAGGGACATCATGCTGAGTAGAGGGACAGCGCAGGAGGGGAAGACCCTCTATGAGGTGGACTGGTTCAGTGACTGGGGTAATCGGGATGGGTGTGTCAGAGGCAATGCGATTGGCACAGGATAGAGCAGGGTTTAGGGCTGTTGTACATAGGGTCGCTATGAGTCGCAAACGACGTGATGGCACATAACAGCAACAACAACAAAGTCTGAGAAGGCAAAAGATTCGGGTCATAGAATATAGATGAAGAGCTTCATTCTATCATTAGACTAAAGAGAACGAAGACTGGATTGGAGCCTTAGTACATTTGTATGTGTGATATTAAAAAGTTGAAGGAATGCTCATCTAAAGAGATTATTTCTGTAATCACAGAAAATTCAGACAGTAAAAGTAATATCCTGAGGTGATGCAACTAGCAAAAGGCATCAGCTAAAAGGACCAAAGTTCAAATCCATCTAGAGGTGCCTCATAAGAAATGCTGGGTCATCAGTTTCTGAGAAATTGTTGTTAGGTTCCGTTGAATGAAGTACAACTGATAGCAACCCTATGTACAACATATCTGAACCCTGCCTTTTCCTATGCCATCCTCATCATCTCCAACACACTTGAACCCACAGCTGAAGCCACTGAGTCAATCCCTCTTGTTAAGGATCTCTTTTTTGCTGTCTACATTTCCAAGCATGCTATCCCTTTCTAAGGAGTAGCTTCTCCCAGAAAAATGTCCAAAGTATGAGAGACAAAGCTTTATCATCCTTGCTTCCAACGAACATTCTGGCTGCACCTTCTGCAAAACATATTTTTTTGTTCTTTTGGGAGTCCATGCGATAGTCAGAACTCTTCTACAACACCACAATTCTACAGAGCACAATTCTAACTTGACACACATGGGATCACCATCAGTCAGATTCCTTTTGATAGCCACTGGTGGTGGTAATAAAGTTAATACAGAATGGGACTTTAGCCTGGGAAATGTGATGTGAGTTTGAGGGGTCAAGGGAATTGAGAATTTTGGTAAGAGATGAATTGGGAGAAAACAAGAAGTTCGTGGCGAGACTTGATCCCACTCTGGACATGTTACCAGGAGAGGTCATTTCCTGGAGACGGGCATCATGCTTGGTAAAGCAGAGGGCCAACAGAAAAGAAGACCCTCAAGGGGATGGATTGACCCAGTGGCTTCCACAATGTACTCAAACACAGTAAGAACTGTGGGAATGGTACAAACAGGGCAGTGTTTTTTTCTGTTGTACACAGATTCACTAGGAGTTGGAATCAACACAACAGCACCTAACAAAAACAATTCAGTGACACGGATAGCATTAATCGTGTTGTGCAACCATAACCTATGTTATTGTTGGGTGTCATTAAGTCCACTACAATATACAGTGACCTTATAACCAATAGATTTGAACTTTAATCTGTACCATCCTCACATTCTGTTATACATAAGCCCATTGTTGCAGTCACTGAGCCAGTCCATCTTGAGTCCTCATTTACATATATATATATATATATTATATACACACACACATCACACATATATATAGTTTTGCAAGGAATGGCCCCTCCTGACAACATTCTCGAAGTATGTGAGATGACAGACAGATGTGTTTGTTTTCGCAATCCATGGGATATTCAGTATTTTTCTCCGTCACCACAATTCAAAGGCCATATCCTTGAAAACCCTACGGAACAAAATTCTACTCTGGAGTGCAATTCTATCCTGCACACATGTAGTTGCTAAGACTTGGACTTGACTACAGAGCAACTAGCAACCACCATACACAAGTGATTCTGATACCAGATTTAGACAAGCAGAGGCTGGATGAGTCTGGATCATCTGCAGCTCAGTATTTAGGTTGCATCTTTCTGTGCACCGCCCATCTGGCCTAGCCCCGCCCCTGCTTCCCCCCGCCCCTCCTTTCCTTTCTCAACGTGGTTTCGCCCAGTTCCGCTTTCTCGGCTCCTCCCACGCCGCTCAAGATGGCAGCGATGTGGCCGGGCCTTGAGCCGTGGAACCGCGTGAAGATCCCCAGACCTGGGAGCTGCACCGCCGTGACCGTAAGGGACCCTGACGCCGCCCTTGGTAAGTGAGATGCTCCAGCATGGAAGTGGCGGCTGCCCGAGAGCAGACGTTTCCGGAGGCGGCCCGCTGGTCAGACAGCGCACGTGGGGCGGGACTTCCTGCGCCCGCGGGCTCCTGGGACGGGGCGCTCGGCTGTGTGCACTGGATTGGGAAGTTCTCAAAAGTAGATTTTCCATGTATTTTGGCTTTACTCCTAGCGTACTTCCCTAAACTAGCGTTCAGCTTCCACTGAGTGACGTACACAGGTTTTGGCTAGGGCGATGAAAGGGTGGAGAGAGGCGGGCATAGTGCTGTTTGAGAGGACTCATGTCAATAGTAACTCACTCTACTCCCCTGTAGTGGTGCTTACTCATGAAGTTCCCAAGGTTATGGATCGTAACAGGAATAGTGCCTCATTATCCACAGAGCACCTGGTGGTGAAAGCTGGTAGATTCCGAAGCGCTGACCTTTTTGGGTTAACCGTACAACACTTAATGTACTGGCCATCAAAGTGTAGGAGCTCTGTTTATCCCTCAGTGAATTAATTTCCTATTTCTGAGGAGCTTGCAGAATCACTTAATCACAGTAGATTTAAGTTATAATGTGTTTCCCTCCATTATCTTACCTGTAAAATGAATTTAGTTGTCCCTACCAGTCAGCAAGCTTTGTCAAGTTGATGCTGCCTCAAATCTATGCACAACAGAATGAAACACTGCCTTGTCCTTCACCCTCCTCACAATTTCGCTGTGCTGCTTGTTATTTGCAGTACAATCAGGGTGTCAGTCCATCTCCTTGAGAATCTTCTTCTGCAATGACACTCCAACATTCCAAGCATGATGTCTTTTCCCAAAAGCTTTCTTGATAATATATATATGCAAAGTGTGTGAGATGGTCTTAACTATTCTTGCTTATAAGGAACATATTAGCTACACTTACCAAGACAGCTTGCTTTGTTCTTTGACATTCAATGGTATATTCAATATTGGACGTTAACACAATTCATAAGCATTAATAATTCTTCAGTTTTCTTTAATTTTTTTGGTCTAATTTTCACATGCATATGAAGTAATTGAAAAATACCATGGCTTGTATCAGCTAATGCCTTAGATCTCAAAATTCTTGCTCTTTAGCACTCTGAAGAGGTATTTTACAGCAGATTTGTCCAATGCAATATATCCCTTGATTTATTGACTACTACTTCCATAGGCTGGATTGTTACAGAATCCAACCCATAAGGAGCCCTATGTAAACAGTGGTAAACTATGCTGCAATCTCAAAGGCACGTGGTTTAGATCCACCAGCTGCTCTAGGAGAAAGATGGATATATCTCCTCTCATGTGATTTATGTCGTCTGAAAAATCTGCTGAAGAGTCATCTGTGAGTCAGTTCCAACATGATGGCACACAGCAGCTTCCATGGGAAGATGACCAGCTAACAGGAAGAAATCCAGATTTATTGCCATACCCCAAAAAGATGACAGAATATGAAAATTATCAAACAATATCATTAATACCACACGCAAACAAAATATGGCTGAAGTGTATTAAAAAACGAGCTAGAAGAGTTGTTTTTGTTATGTGCCGTCGAGTCACCAGTGACTCATAGCGACCCTTTGTAAAACAGCCCTAAGCCCTGCTCTATCCTGTGCCAATCTTATTGTCTCTGACACACCTACCTCCATTACCCCTATTATTGAATAAATCCATCTCATCAAGGGTCTTCCTCTCCTGAGCTGCCCCTCTACCCTCCCAAGCTTGATGTCCCTCTTCAAGGACTGGTCCCACCTTATAACATGTCCAAAGTATGTCAGACAAAGTTTCAGAATCCTTGCCTCCAAGGAGCAGCCTGGAACCTGTTTGTTCTTTTAATAGTCCATGGTATACTCAATAATCTTCTCCAGCACCACAGCCCAAAGGCATCAAGTCTCCATCATCCCTAGTCATTGTCCAGCTTTCTGATGCATGTTGTTGTTGTTGTTATATGCCGTCGAGTCATTTGCGACTCATAGCGACCCTATGTACAACAGCCCTAAACCGTGCTCTATCCTGTGCCTGTATCAAGCACACCTTAGTCTCCAAATTGACGTTATTGCTCTTCAGTACTTGCAAGAGGTCTCTGACAGCAGACTATCCCAATGCAATTCATATTTTTAATTTCTTGGCTGCTTATACCAAGAGTGTTGATTGTGGAGCCAAGCAAACTGAAGCTGTTAACAGTCTCAACCTCTTTACCATCCATCATGATACATACATACACAAAAAAGACATCTATCATGATAGTAAAGAGCATATATACAAAAAAACTGCCAGAAAGTCAAGATGGATTCAGAAGTGGTTATGGCACCAGGGATACCATTGCTTATGTCAGGTGGATCTTGGCAGAAGCCAGAGAATACCAGAAGGATGTCTATCTGTATTTTATTGACAAAATTATGACTAACACTGAGTAGAATGGGACTCCTAGAATACTTAATTTTGTTTATGTGCACCCTATATAGAAATGCATCTAAAACCTGATTTGCATCTAAGAACTGGACAATGAATAAGGATGATAGAAGAAACATTGAGGCCTTTGAAGTCTGGTTTTGAAGAAAAGTATTGAATATCCCATAGACTGTCAATAAATAAATAAATAAATAGATGGATGGATGGATGGATGGATGGATAGATTACGGAGATGGTAATCCTAGAACACTTGACTGTGCTTATGTGAAACTTATACTTGGACAAGGAGGCAGTTGTCAGAACAGAGCAAGGAAACACTGCATGGTTCAAAATTGGGAAGGGTGTGCATCAAGGATATGTCTTATCTCCATATCTTTTCAATCTGTATGCAGAACAGATTATCCAGGAGGCTGGGCTCTAGGAGGAGAAGTGTGGCATCAGGATTGGAGGTAGACTTATCAGCAATCTGCATTCTGCTGATGAAATAACCTAGCTTGCTGAAACTGAAGCACTTGCTGCAGAAGGTCAAAGACTGCAGCCTTTAATATGGATTGAAGTTCAACGTCAAGAAAACAAAGATTCTTACCACTGGGACACTTGGCAGCATCATGATAGATGGTGAAGAAATTGAGATTGTTGACAGCTTAAGTTTGCTTGGCTCTACAATCAACAACCTTGGTACCAGCAGCCAGAAAAGTAAAAGACTAATTGCATTGGGAAGTCTGCTGTCAGAGACTTCTTCAAGGTACTGAGGAGCAATGATGTCAGTCTGGAAACTAAGGTGCACCTGATAAAGGCCATGGTCTTTGCCATTACTTACTATGCTTCAGAGAGCTGGACAGTGATTAGGGATGATAGAAGGAGAGTTGATGCCTTTGAGCTTTGGTGCTGGAGAAGAGTGTTGAATATATCAGGGACTTCTAGGAGAACAAACAAGTTCGTCCTGGAGAGGGTGAAGGCCAGGTTGCTCCTTGGAGGCAAGGATTCTAAAGCTTCATCTGACATACTTTGGACATGTTCCAAGGAGGGACCAGTCCTTGAAGAGGGCCATCATACTTGGGAGGGTGGAGGAACAGCACAGGAGACACAGGAGAGAAAGGCTCTCAGTGAGATGGATTGATCACATCAGTGGGGTAATAAGGATAGACGTGTCGGAGACAGTAAGATTGGCAACAGGTAGAGCAGGGTTTAGGGCTGTTGTACGTAGGGTCGCCATGAGTTGCAAATGATTCAATGGCACATAACAACAATAGCCAGAGTACACCTTGAAGGTACATACTTTGGGCATGTTGCTAGAAGAGGATAGTCTTTGGAGAGGGACATCATCCTTGGAAAGGAGAAGAGAGAAAGGCCCTCAATCAACTGGATTGACCCAGTCACTTCAGCAGTGGCCTTGAGTGTATCAGATTATGAAGATGGCACAGGATAGGACAAGTTTCAGATCCGTTATTCATAGAGTCATTTAGGTTGTACTTCTTGTACTCGGCTCAGTGGCTCCTAACAACTTCTACAACAATGTCAATTTTTATGTGCTCACTTTTTTAACAACTTTAATTTTCTTAGATTAGTTCTTTATATATTGCATAGTGATTGAAAAGACCATGGCTTGAATCAGGTGCACCTTAGTCTTCAAACTGATGTCATTGCTCCTCAATTTGAACAGGTTCCTGACTGTAGACTTTCCTAATGCAATATGACTGCTGGTACCAAGTGTATTGATTGACTGTAGATGCAAGTAAGATGAAGTCATTGACAGTGTCCATCTTTTTTCCATGTATCATGATGGTTCTTGTGTTGGTCCAGTGGTGAGAATTTTTGTTTTCTTGACATTGAGATGCAATCCATACTGAAGGCTGCTGTGTTTAACCTTGTGCAGCCAGTTCTTTAAGTCCTCTTACACTTTTCAGAAGCAAGGCTGTATCATCTGCCTAACCAAGGTTATTAAGGAGTCTTCCTTCAATTCTCATGCCACATTCCTCTGCATAGAGTCTAGCTTCTCAAATAATTTGCTTTGAGTACAGATTCAAGATGTATATAGAGAGGATACAACCCTAATGCACCATGTAGTACATTACTTTAAGCCAGGTAGTATTCCCTTGCTCTGTTCACACAGTAGCCTCTTGATCTAGGTATAGGGGGTTTTTTTGGTGTGTGTATACCGTCAAATTGGATCTGACTGGTACAGGAGGCGACTGTTCCTCCTTCTTCAGCAGAGCATCTGGTGGATTTGAACCGTGCACTTCTGGGATTGCAAAGGTATAGGTTTTGTGCAAACTGAATTAAGTGTTCTGGGAGCTCCATTCTTCTCAATATTAAGCTATAATTTGTTATGATCCACAAAAGTTAACATTAGTAGATTGGATTAGTGTTGCCCATTTTTAATCAATTATGCAATTATTGTGCTATGAATTACACTTTGAAAAGAAAAACAAGACACTCATCATCAAAAAGAACATTTCAAGGTTTATCCTGTAACACTGTGCTATCACTGATATGATAATGCCTCTAAGAATACAAGGAAGACCTGTTAATATAACTGTTGTTCAGATTTATACATCAATCACTAAATCCAAAGATGCAGAAATTGAGAATTTTAATGAAGAAGAATATGGCATCAAGATTGGAGGAAGACTCATCAACAACTTACTGTATGCAGATGATATAACCTTGTTCACTGAAACTGAGGAGGACTTGAAGCGTTTTTGCTGCAGAAGGTCAAGGACTGCAGCTTTCAATATGGATTACACTTAAACATCAAGAAAACAGGTCCTCACCACTGGACCAATTGGCAACATCATGATAGTTGGAGAAAAGATTCAGGTATCAAAAGATGAATTGCTTTGGGAAAGTCTGCTGTCAGGGACTTCTCCAGAGTGCTAAAGAGCAATGATGGACTAAGGTGCATCTGGTCTAGCTTTGGTCTTCTCAGTTCCCTGCTGTACACCTGAGAGGTGCACACTGATTAAGGATGACAGAAGAAGAATTGATACCTTTGAGTTGTGGTACTAGGAGAATGTTAAGCATACCATGGACCGCCAAGAGAAAAAAACAGGTCTGCCCTAGAGAGGGTGAAACCAGATTGCTCTTTGGAGACAAGGATTTTGAAACTCTATCTCACATATTTGGGCATGTTGTTGTTAGGAGGGATTAGTCCTTGGAGAAGGCAAACATGCTTGGGAGGGTAGAGGGTCAGCACAAGAGAGGAAGACCCTGGATGAGATGGATTGACACAGTCACTGTAGCCATGTGGGGGCAGGTGTATCAGACAGTGAGGTTGGCTCAGGATAGAGCAAGATTCATAAGTGGTGTTTAAAGGGCTATTACGAGTCATAGTCGACTTGATAGCAAGTAACAGCTCCAGCATCTGTAGTCTTGAAGTGATTAAAAAGGCATCAACATGCATTCATAACATGTACCAACACAGGAGGTGATTAGAATGAAAAAGTTAGAAACAAAGGACTGGTAGTAGAAAACATGACTTTGGTTAATAAAAATGAGGCTGGAAATTACATGACAGAGTTTTATACAACCAGCAACGTATTTATTGTTAATGTCAGATTGCTAGGATTTAATGATGTTGTTTAGGACAGGATCTGTAAACGAAAGTTTTCTACAAATGTATATTGGTATTGCGATTATTAGGCTGTGGGCATAGTAATTTACTTTCTTGGCTTTTTCCTTTTTTTTAGGTTATGGGAAGTTGTTTAGTATCTGTCTCAGTTTGCCCATTTTCAAATAAGAATAAAAATCATACCTCCATTATAGTCCTGCTTTAAGGAATGAATTGATATTACAGATAAAACATTTAGAACATTGCTTGATATGGCAAATAAACACTTAATAAATTATTAGTGCTGAGTACTTAACACACCATCTATCCATCACTTTTCTTTCCTGATTCAGTCCATTAATGCTCCCCATTTACAGTTTCATAATCCCTTGTGCTCAATATAAATTCCTCATCAAGATTTGTGTTAAAACTAAAACTTTTAAAAAAAAGCTTTACAAACTCCCACAACCCAAACATTCAGGTCCACTATAGGACCAAGTAGGTAGAACTGTTCCATTGGGTTTCCAAAGCTGTTGTCTTTACATGGAACTCTGATAGCATAGTATTTATGTGTCCTGCTGCTGCCTGGAAGGCCCGTGGTTTGAATCTTATCAGCTGCTTTTCAAGAGAAAGATGGGCAGTTTTCTCTTGCAAAGATTTATGACCTTAGAAACTGATGGAGGGTAATTTTGAGGCAGAACTGATTCCATGGCCATACGTTTGATTTTTGGTTTGGAGAAATCTTGACACAACCCAACTGCCACATCTGCCCAAAAAAGCAAGTGGTAAGTTCAATCCTTTGAGCTTTTGTTTGTCAGGGAAGCATTACTTTAACCACTGTGCCAGACATTGGCAGCTGTGCCCTTTAACCACCACTGTACTGGGAGGTCTTGCTTAAAACTATAGACAATACATAAACTCGATGATGGAGTCAGATATTTATCAAATGCAATAGTTTTCAGTCACCATTGTGCTTTTTCAGAATATATTCTTATGTATGTCAAAGTAGTATCCAGATAATTAGCACTGGTTTTTAAGAGTATAAATTTTGGGGAGCTCTGGTGGTCTAGTGGCAAGAAGCTGCACTGCAACCCCAGAGGTACATGGTTCAAATCCACCAGATGCTCCTGTACCAGTCACATCCGATTTGACGGTACACACATAAAAAAAACCCACAAAAACAAACAAACAAACAAAATCTAGGAAAAAATCTCTCATTTAAAAAAAAGAGTATGAATTTATGTTGTCTTTTGTTTCTATCCATAGCACAAAGGGAAATTTAGAGATGTTTACAATGTAAGTTGTACTAGCAACATACTTAACTGTAGTTTAAATACCAAATGACTGCAACATTTTCATGTCAGAGATGATTTAAATTAGGATAAAATATGACAGAAAGTCTCTCTAACAGATATCTTCAAAAGAACTTTTTTCCCATGTCACAATTTCCCAAATTCTCACCTATTTAGAATAACTGTGTTTTTAGCCTTGAGGCTGACTGTGTTAATCTGTTATTTTTCCTTTAAAACAAATAAATGGGTATGTTTCAGCATAATTTTTATGTATTACACTCAATGTAGGATTGTATCCTAAATCTTAATAAAATCTCTGCTTTAGATCTTTGCATTGCAGCTGTCATTAAACAATGTTGCCTCGTCACACTGTCCCTGAAGAGCCAAGCCTTAGATGCAGAAACAGATGTGTTGTGCTCAGTCATTTACAGCAATCACAACAGAATGGGCCGCCACAAGCCCTATTTGGCCCTCAAACAGGTGAGAAGGAAGCTGTATTTAATACCTGTATTGTCACCTACTATTTTGTCATTTTGAGAAATCTCAATATACTTGTGATTTATTATCCAAAAACAGCACATCAGCAGAGAACTGCCAGAAGTGCAGGCCGGGTTTAGAAGAGGCCATGATACTAGGGATATTATAGCTAATGTTAGATGGATCTTGATGACTGAAAGCAGAGAGTACCAGAGAATGTCTATCTGTGTTTCATTGACTGTGCAAAGGCATTTGATTGTGTGGATCACAACAAACTGGCTGACTCCGAGAAGAATGGGAATCCCAGAACACTTGATCGTGCTTACGTGAAACCTACACTTGGACCAGGAGCCAGTCGTCAGAACGGAGCAAAGACACACTGTATGGTTCAAAATTGGGAAGGGTGTACACCAGGGATGTGTCCTATCTCCATACCCTTTCAGGCTATATACAGAACAGATCATCTGGAAGGCTGGGCTCTATGAGGAAGAATGTGGCATCAGGATTGGAGGAAGACTGATCATCAAACTATGTTATGCAGATAATGCAACCCTGCTTGCTGAAACCGAGGAGGACCTGAAGCGCTTGCTGCAGAAGGTCAAGGACTGCAGCCTTCAATATGGATTGAAGGATAACATCAAGAAAATAGAGACTCTCACCACTGGGCCTATTGGTAGCATCATGATAGATGGTGAAGAGATTGAGATTGTTAACAGCTTCAGTTTGTTTAGCTCCATAGTTAACACCAGCAGCCAGGAAATTAAAAGATTAAGCATTGGAAAAGTCTGCTGTCAGGGACCTCTCCAGAGTATTGAAGAGCAGCAGTGGTGGTTTGGAGATGAATGTGTGCCTGATCCAGGCCTTGGTCTTTGCAATTACTTGCTATGTGTATACAGGCCATGGTCTTTGCAATTACTTGCTATGTGTATACAGGCCATGGTCTTTGCAATTACTTGCTACGTAGAGAATTGATGCCTTTGAGCTATGATGCTGGAGTAGAATAAAAAGGTTTGTCCTAGAAAGAGTGAGACTAGGCTGCTCCTTAGAGGCAAGGATTCTGAAGCTCCATATTATGTATTTGGGCATGTTGCAAGGAGAGGGACATCATGCTAGGGAGACTGGAGGGACAGCACAAGAGAGGAAGTCTCTTGATCAGATAGATTGAGTGACTGGGCTTAGAGGTTGGCACAGGATAGAGTAGAATTCAGAACTGTTGTACATAGGGTCGCTACGAGTTGCAAGTGACTTGATGGCACATAACAGCAACATTTATTGTAGACTTTAATTACTATTTTCTTAAAAGTATTTAACAAATTATTTATGTTAGAAAGAAAATAATGTTCAGAACAATTTATTTTCTTCTGTTGAAAAAAATGTCATTATTTTTCATTATATATAATAAAGAAATGAATTATAGTGCCTTTTTTTATCAGTTCCAGAATATAATAATTTATAAGATACATCAAGAAAAAATAATGTACTTAAAGAAACATTAAGATAAAATTGTAGTTTATTTGTTGTGGGATGTATAATCTGATTAGTGTAATTGTGTATATAACAAGTTGTGGTATTTATTGGTTTTCTGAAATATTTGGAGCTTAAAACAAAATTGATCCTTTTAGGTAAGAACTTTGGATTTCCTTTAAGGGGCAAAGTAGCCTGTGGTATTCAGTGTCTTCATACTTTGGAAATCTGTTCTCTCTTTGCCTTTGGTCATGTTTTATGAGCAGTCCATTATATACATATGAATTTGAATTGCTCTTCTTCTTTTAGGTTGAACAATGTCTAAAACGTTTGAAACACATGAATTTGGAGGGTTCAATTCAAGATCTTTCTGAGTTGTTTTCTTCCAAGTAAGTGATGTAGTTGCTTTATGGTGCACTGGGTCGGGAGCTTGCTGTCCCCTCAGGATCTCACTTTAGACTTTTCTCTGCTTTGGTTTTAGAATATAACCAATTATACTTCCACCGTTTGAACTCAGTTTAAACAAAGACACTTGGTACTTATGCTAGTAAATGTCCTCCCACTGGCCTGTGGGAAAGACTTGGGAGACATTGATATTTGGGCCACAATAGGCTGTAATGAAACGTCAGTGGGTTGTTACTGAGTACAACTATCTCCAGTTGAGTGTAAAGCAACTCTATCTTTGAATGAAATTAATATGTTTTTCTCTTTCTTGCTAAGTGAAAATCATCCGGTTACTACTAAAGACTGTGTCATCCCCAGTCAACCAATGGTAGAGTTGGTGCTGATGAAGGTTTTAGGAGCCTGTAAGTTGCTACTCCGCTTGTTGGACTGTTGTTGCAAGACATTTCTGTATCCTTGAATCGATTTAAATCTCTTAATTGTTTGTATATATTTTTTAACATTTCTGTTCAAAACTAAGGGTAGTATAATTCTGGGTGTTACAACTTGAGAAGTATTATTAAAGTTTTGCTTCATGGCCTCTTTTTCCATGATGAATTGCCTATGTGGCCATTATCAGAGATCACCTGCAGGTATACATGCAGTATATTTTAAGAACATTTGTAATTATAAATATTTAATCTTTATAGCTAAACTGTAAAAATGAAATTTAATAATAGAGGCTCTAGTAGAATATACATTACTTTTTAATTCCCAATTACTTAAACCTTTTTGAAAAATTTTGGTTTTGGCAGAAGTTTATAGTACAAATGCATTTTCCATTCAACAGTTTATATACTTTTTGTTTTGTAACATTAGTATACAGTTACCTTAGTGTAACCGTGTTCTTCTCCGCAGGCTCCCCATATCCATCATCCTTCTTTCCTTCCCCTTTCTGCTTTCAGAGCTTTGTTTGGGGCACATGCCCTTCTGGCCTCATATGGGTGATTGCTCTGAGGAGTAATTATTGTTCACATTTATGAGTCTCACAGTTTCAGGTTTGGTTGGTATCTAAGGCCTCTTGGGGTGATAGAACATATATATCTTAAAAGTAATATTGCCAAGAAGACACTTGATTCAAATCTATCTTTTCATAAACATAACTTAAGAGACTAAAATTATTTTAGTTATGCTTTTTAACCTTAACTTGATTCTGCAGCTTGACTGTAAAACATCTTGGTTTGGAAGAATTCATTATATTAAACCTGGTGATGATAGGACTGGTTAGCCGGTTACGGTATGTTTATGGCTTTGACATTTTCACACCTTTTTTATATCTGCCTGTACCTGAGCTTCTTATAGGTAGTTTTCATGTGGAATGTTAAAGATACAGACAAATTCCCTTTCTTTTCATGATCAGGATTTATTTGGAGTTATGTTAAAGGATTGGGTTTTGACTATGAAGCCATGGAATCAGCCCAGTATAGAACAACTAACCAAGCAAACTCCTAGGATTTTTGTTGTTTTGTGTCTTAGAGTCAGAACCAACCTATAGCTGAGCCTCGAATGGGTTCTTAGGCAGTAAATTGCATAGGTGACTGCCCGTCCATCTTTCACGGAGCAGTGGGTGGATTTGAACGCAGTGCAGCTTCTTACCATTAGTCCACCAGAGCTCCCTCTCCTAGAGATTAGGATCTGGAATAATAAAATCATTCAGCATTTAGGGCCATTTAAGTGTTCTTGGATGGCTGTCACTTGATTTTATACACCATTTGGGTTTTGTGTTAACGACAATAAGAGAGATTTTTTTTACTTTCTATTTATGTGCTATTTTAGATAACAGAGATGACAAAGAGGTTGAGTTTTCAAGCATGGAAATACAAAGGAAGAGGAACAGTTGTAAGCAGACACTGGTGATTGGGACATGGAATGTGAGAACCATGAATGTAGGAAAGTTAGATATTGTT